GGGCCAGAGCTCCCCAGGATGAAGATGCTTGTTATTATGAAGGTTGTTTCCTACCCACAAACCATCAGCACTTTAATATTAGCACTAGTCCCACGAACTGGAGGCTGTGTCTTTTCATCTCTGTCCCTGGCTGAGAGGGGAACTCCTGGCAGCCCCTTGGGTCCTCCATACCCTGGTTTGCCCCTCAGGATGGTCCTTGTCACTTGTCACTGTGGGGTTCAGTCCTTAGTCCTTCCATCCTGAACCCCTGTGAGGGTGACAGGGTGTGGTGGGTGGGAGCTGTGCCAGGCTGTGGGGAGCACTTCCCTGCAGGGGTATAGCCAAGGTGAAGGTATGGAGGCCTTGGCACTGTTGGGGTGGGAGGAGAAGGGGTGGCCATGGAGATGGTGGGCCCTTGCCGAGGCCTCGCCTGATCCCCTAGGAGTCTGTGAGGAAAAAGACCCAGAGCCACCGCAGAACTGGGCCTAATGCCTGCCTAGGTCTGGAGGGCCCGGCCTCCTCCTACTCGGGCTCTGAAAGATGAAGTGCGACTTGAGTACACCTATTGAAGGGAACTCCACCTTTGAGCCTGGTGAAACCTCAGCCCTACTCTGCCTCTTGGCCTCAGCCAAAGGTCGCACCTCAGGTGGTCACTAAGCCCTTCTCCACCTGCTGGTCCCTCTATTGCTTGTCCAGATCTGACATGCAGTCCTGGCCAGGCAGAGGATACAGGCTGCACCTTTTCCTGGTGGGCCCAGGTGTCCAGAGCCCACCCTGTGGTGATTTTTCCTGTCCTGTGTCTGGGCCTGGGCTGCTCAAGACTCCAGAGTTCCACAGCAAAGGATCTGTGAGCTGGGACTCAATGCCGTCAGCTCTCTGGTGTGTCCATATTCTGTCCTGGTCCAGAGGACGAGGTCCTGCCTGGAACAGAGGACCTGGTGGTCTCTGCTGGACAGACAGTGAATAAGTACCCTTTGTATGCTTAGCGTGTATCAGGTCCTGCACCCACCCAGATGAGGGTGCCTGGGGACAGCCTGCTCCCACAGCTCTGCCCCGGTCCTTGTTCACTTGCACTGCAGCTGTGGGTCAGAGCTCACAGTCCTTCCCACTGGCCCAGGGTGGCTGAGGCTGCCTGTGTCCCATGCACAGAAGGTGGTGGTAGCACCTGTGTGAGTGTGTGGAACTGGGGGATCCCCCAGTTTCTCCTGTCTGCTCTGCTCGGGAGCCCCCCCGATGCTCCTTGGAACTCACTGCCGCTGTCAGTAGAGCTAACCCCTCTGAGCTGCTGTAGGCTAGTGTGGCAGTGGCCTTGCCCGCCCATATGTACCCACAGCTGCGGAAAGAGTACAGGCCCCAAGCTCTCCTGTTGTACCTCATGTGTGGCCCAGTGTGTCCATGTCGCCACATCTGTGGGGACAGATGGGACGCACAGTTCTTGGGCTGAGGTGAGGGCACAGAACTGCAGTCATAGGGTCGTGTGCTGTATGCTCCCAGAATAACAGACTGCAGTTGGACCTGGGGCCACTGGTGTCAGCTGTGAGCCAGGTGACTTTGAGAGCCAGGATTTGGGGGCCACGTGAGGGGTGGCTCTCATGGCTCCCCCTGCCACAAGCCACGTGGGAAGGTAGGTGGCATCTTCACTTAATTTGCACAAAGCGTTCTGGGAACAGTTAATGCTTTTTGCTCTTTGCTTAGTGTTGACTTACAGAGGTGTGAGGATCCCTCATCCCACCCTCTTTACACTTGGATGCCTCCCTTCTCATTTCAAGAGAAACTACGATTCCGCTTGAATCTGTAATTCTTGCTTGGCCTGTGTGAGTATGTGAGGGTGTGTGGGACTGGGCCTAAGCTGACTGTTCCCATGTGGAGACAGAGAGCTCTAGGAGGACGCGTGTCTTGTCTGGCGGCCACACTCAGGCCATCACTCTGGTTGACTGTTCGCTACGCGCTATCAGTGTGCACCTGCTGACTGTGGAAGCTGAAATGCATTGGCTCTGGCCGCCTGTCACACTGGGTATCCTCTGCCAGGGAGGAAATGGGGAGCTTTGCTGCCTGGAGCAGCCTGGCCCTGCGGCATGCTGGGGTCCTCAGCCGTGTGCTTCCTGATATTGTCCGGCATCCTCGCCTCATCAGTGAGAAAGTCCTGGTGTTGATGACAGGCACTGTGGCCGTGAAGATAATATCCTTCTTTGGGCAGATATATGGAAGTATTCTATCTAGGAGTAAAAGTCACAAGTCAACCCCATGGACCCCTCCTCCCAGGCTCTGCGTGGAAGCAAGCCCAGACCCTGGGTTGCGTGATGGTCCCAGCAGTGGTGACCCGGCCTTCCCTGTGCTTCCTGGTGACGCCATGTTGGAAGTATCCACGTGGCTCGAGAGGTTCCCTTCATGTGAGCTTGTGTGGTATTTCCCGGTAAAGAGGTGCAATGGCACAGTGTGGCAGGGCTGCAGTGCCTGTTGGGAGGCGTGCGTGCCACCCTGCCAGGTCTTGGCCCCTTGTGCAGTGGTTAAGCTGTCACCTTCATTGGCATCGAAGCCACCAGCAATTAGCAAAGCATACTTCGTTGCCTGTGTGGGTCATGAGGTGTGACCTTGGGGGTCTAGCTCTGGTCCCATCTTCTCTGATGCTGTTCCTGTGCTCTGCTTCCTGGCGGCCCTGAACTAAGCAGCTTTGTTTCTTCGTGCCTCTCTGCCACGATGCTCCTGCCTTGGAGCCAGCTTACCATGGACCGAGTCCTCTGAAACTGTGAGCCAATTCAAGTTCTCTAAGTTGTAGGTAGTTCCCAGGGATGGGGAAGCTGACTAATAACACTCGGAAAGGTGTGCTTGCCAGCCTCTCCACGATAGAGCTGAAGCTCGTCTGTGTCATTGAGTGTCTTGTGGGAGGCCCCTGGAACCCAGTGTCCTGGGGCTTCCATGCCCTCGGATGCACTGGCATGGCTCTGTCTGCAGAGCTGGTTCCAATGATTATGGTTGCTGAGGATAGGTGTCCACCTGCCCGTTGTTCTGCCTTTGGCAGCTGGCCTGTCAGCTTGAACTTGGGAGTCTTACTTTCACGAACAAGCCACACAGTTCAGTGTTGTGGTTTACTCACCAACTTGGCACAGGGTAGCTTGTCTGAATGATTTTCTCTGAAGAGGAGGCAACAGCAGGTCTAGGGTGGGAAGAGCATTCCTCTGACATCTGAGTGTTCCCTGCAGAGTCCTGGAGAGCATGTGAGGGGCATGTGGGCGAGGCCGGGAGGCAGGATGGAGAGACTTTTTTTTAGAGGAGTTGGGGTGCGGAGTGGTGCCCCTGGCCTGTAAGGGCCCAGGAGTTGAGCGTGGGCTGGGCTGGCTGTAGAGCTCTGGGGCTGCCTGACATAAAGTCCCCTCCTCGTGGGGGCTGAGCTCCTGCTGCCCAGGACATGCTTGGATTCCTGAGCTGTCCCCTGAAGGTGGCAGGGCACAAAACAGGGAATACAAGGACACACACACTTTGTGTGATAGGTAAGGAGGCAGAGCCCACTGCTGTTTGCCTGGTGACAGGAGCCATGGGAGACGAGGGCTTCCCAGTGATCTGGGGCTGGATTTTTGGTGCTAGAAATACAAAGAAATTCTTTCTATCAGAATGGGGCAAGGGAGTCTCTCAAGTCTTTGACTATGATGATGAATGAAACTGCGTTTGAAATTATATTCTTTGATAAAGTGAGGCCCTCTTTTAAAAACCTGCTCTACTTTTTATAGACAAAAGCAAGGCATCAAGTGCTCTGGTGAGCTGGGCTGCTGGTCGGTGAGGCAGCAGGGGGCCCATGGCACACAGCCTCTGCACCATGGTAGCCTGGGCTCCCTGTAAATTCTGAAGCAGGGCGGAGACAGTGAAGTCACTTTTGGGGACGCTCTGGCATGGGGGCTTTCTAGGGTCCCTGTCATCCATCTGCCACTCCCTAGAGATGACTCACCTACCTGGCAGGTACTCTGGCTGTGCTGGGCATGGTGTCTGGGGACTGGGCATTGGCCGCTGTGACCGGTCTTCCCGAGGATCTGCTGCATGACTCCTGGTGTCCCTGCAGTTCTCGCTGTCCCTGGAGAAGGGGCCCATAGGGGCAGGGAGCTCCCCTGTGCTCCAGGTGCACTCGCGTGTTCCCTGGGTGCAGTGGGGCTGAGCTGCACACAGCCCTAACCTTGTGACATCTCCATTCCACGTCCCTGATCGATTCTCCTGGCGACTCTGTCCAGGTCTGCCCATCTTCACTGCTGCAGAAAGACATTGGCTTAAGCACTTTGAACTCAGGCTTCTCCTCTCCTCCTTTTGTTGTTCACTGACATCATCTGGTGACAGTAAGTCATGGTGTGGGCCTGGTAGGAGTATTTATTGCACAGAAATTTGCGACAAGCAGGGGCCTCTTTCCCAGAGAGCCAGTTGCCGGACACTTGGCAGCGCACTGCTAGAGTGGGGAGATGGGCAGGGCAGGAGCGCCATTGCCTTCCCTGTGGTCCGTGCTTCCTGGAGAGCTGCTCAGCTTCTGTGGCAGCAGATGGCACCAGATGTGGGTCAGGAATGTGTGGGACGGCTTGCTCTGCAGAGGACACATTCTAATACCACAGTGGGTACCGGGACAGCACCAGTGTCTTGTACCCCGTTCCATTTCCTCACAGTGAGATTTATAAGTGAAAGACAGTAAGGAATTAGGAATGATAAGTAGTAAAATACAGTTATAACCACAGACTGTGGTACAAGCTCTGTGAATATTTTTCTCTCCCCTCTCTCCCTCTTTCTTCCCCCCTCTAGGCCTCTCCCTCTCTCCGGCTCTCCACCTCTCAGCCTCTCCGCCTCTCCCTTCTCTCTTTCTCTCTTAATTGCTGCAGGGTGAGTAGTGTACACAGTGTGGACCTATTGGGCTGAGTAAGTAAGAGGCATTGAGATGTCATTGTGCTACTCAGACCAGAACTATAAAACTTATGAATTGCATATTTCTGGGATTTTTAATTAATACTTTTAGACTTGCTAACTGAAGCCGAGGAAAAGAAACCAAGGAGGAGGTGGCTTTCAGGGCATTTTCATCCTTCTGTATTATAGATTACCTCTTGGTAAGGCATGAAATCTGAGCAAGTTGCCTGCCTGTGACCTATAGTTTCTTTGTTCTTGATGAAAAAATTGGCAGAGTAAACAGTCCCAGGTGCAGATACGGCTCAGTTTTATTATCTTAATTACACAATAGTGTCTGTGCAGACAGGTTGAAATGCCTCCTTTCTCTCAAAGCAAATCAGCCCTTAACTAGACCCCTGTCTTCAATGATGACTTGTGCTGAGGAAAACAGTGGAATCATGGCCTAGCTTTGGAAAGTGCTTTTCCTACGCGTGTGCTGGGGTCGTGGATCCTTCTGTCGGTCCATCCTTCATGACAAGTCCTGTCCTTTCCCCTCTCTGTCTCTATCCATCCACTCATCTGTGTGTCAGCCACCAGTCCATCTATTCACCTGTCCGTCCTCCTTCACACAGAACTTCCCAGGTCCTGGGGCTGGGAAGGGGACATCATGAGCTCACAGTCCCGACAGGACCCAACATGCCTTTGTGGTGGCGGCATCCAGCCCTCATTTGTGTCTGAGAGGGGCGCGTTTCCAGAGCGCTCAGCATCACTGCAGACCTGGGCTGCCCAGGGCTTTCTGCCACCACAACCAGGTGATGTGTGGCTTGTCAGAGGCATTTATGGTTTTTATTTTTCCTTTAGGTACTGGGGGATTGCCTCCCAGAGTGCTGGGGTTATAGAGAGGCACCTCCATGCCTGACTTGTGCTCTCTAAGCTGGGAGTAGCTGTTTCTCTGATTCCTTCCCCTTTGGACAGAGGGCCTTGCTTCTGTCAGGCAAGGAAATATCCCTGCTCTCGCCTTAGTCATAGCCATGCTTGCATTTCCAAGCTGGTGTCTTGGCCCTTCTCCTCCTCAGGGGCCTCCTGTGTCCCTGCATCAGGTAGACACATTCCTTTTGCCTTGCCAGCTACAGCGAGTGGTGGTCTTGGGCAGACCCTAGGGCGATCTCCTCTGATCCTCACCTTCTCATGTGATGCCTCCCTGTAAACCTCTGTCCTGGACACCTCATGAAACCCGCGACTTGATACTGTCAGTAGAGTGGGATGTCGAGGCTTGAATCCCATAATCACAACCGTTAGGACTCCCAACACAGGAAGCTAGATGTTGTCTGTGTGCTTCTGAAGTAAGAGCCAGTCAGAGAAGCCCCCAGGGCCAGGACCCATTTGTGGTTTCCATCCGGGGTCTGGTAGAGGCGGGGCCCTCAGTTGCATGCTGCAAGGGTGTGGGCTCTGCCGCAGCTGGAATGAGGTTAGGAGTGGAGTCCTCTCTAGTGTGTGCTGTAGGGGAGAGAGCTCAGCCTCGGTGGCAGCTGCATATGACTGGGATGTGATGGATTTATACTCTTAACCCGCTCACCTCAGAGTGACAGAACCCAGGCTGAAGGAGCAAGCTGTACCGTGGAGCCATGTCTTTCAGTGCACCTCTGGGGTGGGAAGCCTGGGTCCCCCACAGGAGCTCGGACATTCACTCCTAATGCACTCTCCTCCTGCTGGGGATGGGGACTGGGTGAGCAATACGTGGTGTAGGAGCTGAGCAGAGCCTCACCAGCTTGCCCTCCACCTGCGGCATGTTTAATTCAAACAAAGCAGAGTCAGAATGCAGCCGTTCATTCAGACCTGATCCGGGAAGGGAGCACCGAGTACCCACACAGACACTAATCATAAAGCTTGGAAGGGTTCTGCCCTGGTGATAACGCACCTCCCCAGCTCCAGGGGATATTTCCAGGGACCAGACTCGCTCATCTATGCAAGTCAACTAAAAAACTCACTAAATATGTAAAACACTGGTTTTTAAGAGAAGGTACACCCCGTGCTTGTGGTGGCCCCAGTACTATTTCTGGGTGGACAAGCAAGGGGGAGCCCTGCATTGGGATGAGCCTGTCTGGAGGAGCCCAAGTGCTGGAGTTCCTGGGGCTGTGGCTTGTAGGTGGCAGGGCCGACCAGGTTGAACACTTAGCTGTGTGTGTCTGCAAGCAGCCACCATGGTGCTAAAGAACCTCTTGAAAGGATTAGAGATACAGTTCCTGGAACCCTCATGGCAGAATTTGTAAGTCATGGGCATAGGGTCCAGAGCCCGGAGGGTTTTGCCTGGACAGTGGGTGGTAAATATTATGGCAAATATTACATTGCTCCAGGGTTTAAAAAGCAAGACCCCACACAATTAAACTATGCCCCATAAAAAGTTCAAAAATGTTCGTAGGAATGTAAAAATATTAAGTACCTAGTAAGGAAACTTCCCAATGTCTAGCTTTCAAAGGCATTTGCAGGCATGCAGAAAGGCAGGAAAATATAATGAGAAGAAGAATCAATCCGGACTGACCTGGAAAAGGCATGGAGGTTAGGCTTGTTAGATAATGACTTTAAAGCAGTTACAGAAATTGGATTCTCTATGTTCAAAGAGCTAGAGAAATAGTAAACATATTAAGTAGGGACATGGAAGATGTGAAAATGATTCAAATTGGGCTTATGGAGATGAAAACTCCTATGAAATGAAATCGCTAGTTGCACTGTATGGGTAACCAGCAGATCAGACTTTGGGGAAGAAAAGATTCACGAATTTGCAGGCATAGTAGTGGAAAGTACTTAAATGCAAATTCTCTAAACACTTCAGTTAAAAGGGAGATCTTGTCAGAATAGTTTTAAAAAACAAGACCAAAGTATGTACTTCTTAAAAGAAATCCACTTTAAATATGAAAACACAAGACTAAAATATGGGCTTCGTGCAAGAAACCCACTTCAAATATGAAAACACAAATGATTTAGAAGTAAAATGAGGGGAAAAGATATTCCATGCTAACACCAGTCTAAAGAAGGCTAGAGTTACAATATTAGTGTCAGAGTGGATTTCAGGAGAAAGGATAGAGCATATAAAAAGGTCATTTTGTATGATAAAGGGATGAATTAAGCAGATGAAAATAGCACTCTTAAATGTTAATGCACCAAATAATAGTTTCAGACTACACAGCAGAATCTGAAAATTGTAACAAAAAATAGCCAAATAAACAATTATAATTGGAGATATGAATCTCTTTGCAGTAAGTGAGAAAACAAGTATACAGAAAATCAGTAAAGATATGGGAAGCATGTACCATCAGATGTGACTTAGTTTACTTCGACAGAAAATTCAAGGAATGCACATTCTTTTTAATTGCATATGGGACATTTACCAAGACAGCCCACTTTCTGGGGCATAGAAAGATAGCGATAAATCCTAAAGGATTCAAGCAATATGAGATCTTCTCTAAGCATAGTAGGGCTGTTAGGGAAGTCCCAGTATTTCTGTACTAATTAACACACTTTTAAGTAACCCACTGCTCATAGAAGAACTCAAAATGGAAATTAGAAACTATTGTGAAATGAATGGAACATTTTGGAATTTTGGGAATGTAAACTAAGCTCCTTGCATTTCTTATCTAAATCTGAAAAAAACAAAACAAAACAAAACAAAAAACAAACAAACCAGTTGTCTAATTGGTGACCTCAGCTTCTGCCATAGGAAACAGAAACTTGTCTTTAAAAAAATTCAATAAAATAGGTAAATCTGTAGTCAGACTCATTAGGAAGAAAAAGGGAAAAGATACCAATTGCCAGTATCCCAGCACTGGGCGGCTGAGACAGAGGATCACATGTTTGAGCCCCTCTGGGTGATTTAGTGATATCCTATCTCAGAAAGGGCTGGGGTATGTATAACAGTGTGCAGGTCCTGGGTTTATCTCCAGTACTTTGGAAGGAGGGAGGGTGGTAGGGAGGTGAGAGCCATCATCATATTGTAAGGTAGAGGATAGAAGGGGACTTGACACTGACAATTTATAAAATGGGGATATTTCTCAAAAGACGTAAACTACAGCTACCTAAGAAAGGATAAAATAATTTATTCTCATATTTATGAAAAAATTCTTGTTTGAAACCCTCCTGCCATAAAAACCCTCCACCACAGGCATAGGTGGCCTCACTGTTAAATGAAGTTAGATTTGTTAAATGTATAGAAAAAAATGTTAATCCTACATGAACTATTAAAACAATGAATGGGAAGACATACTTCCCAGTTCATTCCATGAGGCCAGCATATTCCTGTTACCCAGTTCAAAAGCAATAAAAGAATGAGAACTACAGACCAATACCCTTCATGAGCATGGATGTCAAGATCCTAAAGAGAAATTTTAGCAAATGAAATTCAACAGTTTTAAAAAGAATAATATATCATTGTGACATGTGACTTATCCCAAAATGCAAGGTTGATTTAACTGTTGAAAAAGCAATCAATGTAGTTCATTATATTAACATATTAAAAAACAACAGACCCATGAAATCATCTCAAGCAATTCAGGAAAGCATTTGACAAAACCCAGCTTCTGCTCCTAATAAAAGTTCTCAGTCAACTGGGATAAGAAGAAACTTCCTAAATTGAATAGAGAGCATGTACAAGATAAAAATAAAACTATACAAAAATGACATAAATCTGAATTTTCCCCCCATCAGATCAAGACTATAGCAAAATGTTCCTGCTCATGACTCTGTTTATACACACTGGAGGTTCTAGTGAAAACAAATGAAAACATCCATACTTGCAGAAAGGGCATCTGGGGTGAAAAGGAAAAAGTAAAATCCTTTATTTGCAGGTAACACCAATCATCTTTTTGAAAATAGGATGGAATGTACAAAAAAGGTAACCAAAACTAATAAGAGTTTAACAAGTTTCAGGATACAAGGTCCATGAACATAGTTTCTATATACTAGCAATGAGCAGGTTTTTGAGATTAAGTGAGCAAAACCATGTTAATAATGTAAAAATGCCAGGTTATTTAAGGAAAACATGGCAAACGATGTAGTAAACCTGTACTCTGAAAGCCACAAAACTGCTGAGAGAGATCAGAGATGGCCCACTCATGTCCACAGATCAGAAAACACAAAATTATTCACTACCATTTCACTTAAACTGATCGCACATTCAACCCAATCCCACTTCAGATCCCAGCATACAAACTGATTCTAAAGTTCATATGCAAAGCTAAAGCCCCCAGAACAGCTAAAGCTAAATGACTCTGAGAAAATCAGCAACATTGGAGATCTAACACTGCCACCTGATTATGAGAATTTGTGACGCTTCAGTAGTGAAGATCATGTATTAATGGCATCGAAACAGAGGTCACAGGGAGAGGAAAAGTTCAGAAATAGAGGGACAGTTGATTTCTAAAAGATACCAAAGAAAATCAGTGGCAAAAGCATATATTACGATAATTGTAAATAAGATCCTAATGGTATAATTGACAATGTGTAATAGGAAGAAAAGGACTAAAGGTGTAGGGGAAGTGGGAAGGGTAGGGGAAAGGAAATAAAGCAAAAGAAAAAATACGAGAAAATGAAAATAAAGTTTTTGTAAATAGGGAAGGGAGGAGGGGGTGAGAGGAGGGCAAGGTATGGGGAAAAAATGAGAACCAAGAGCTGTCATGTAAAGGTACAAGATCCCAATGATGAATATAACTACTGTGTACCTAAAATGTACCAATAAACTCAATGAGAAAAAAAGCATATATTACATATATTTTAAACAAATAGTACAGCTATCAGTGGATATTTGTATGGCAGTGAATTATATTTAGATTCTTACCTTGCACCAGGTTAAAAAATTACTGCAAAATGAATCAAAGACATAATGAATTAAACGTCCAAAGTTATAAAATTTCTACAAGAAAACCTAAACAACTTTGTGAGCTTGAGTTAGGTACTGAGTATTTTTTAGAATGACACTAAAACCATGGAACCTAAGAAATTTTACGAATGAATTGGATGTTCTCTCAATTAAAATCTGCTCTTCAAATGCTGCCATCTTTCAGTCATCCTCAGTTTGCTCATCCTCAGAGTTGGGTGGGACGGAGCCCAGAGGGATGCCTCTGCAGGTCCCCTCAGCTTATCTGTGGTCCACGCTACCCTGTGGCATCCCTGGCCAGGGGTATCCTCGTCATGTGTGGGCAGCGTGGCCAGTGCTCCCTGAGCATCGGGCACCTTAGAAGCAGCTCCGCCATCCGCGGCCTTTTTGGTGACCTCAGATTAGACATTGCTTTTTTGGAGGGAAATAGCCTGTGTTGGGGGTGCTGTTGACAAGCTCACGTGCACGCCTGTGAAATGAGAGTGATTTAATACCTCGTTGCTTCAATTCCATGTATCTCTTGAAGAACTTAGAGTTTAGATTATGTTACTGTCAAAAAATATAACTTAATACCTCTCTAGAGATGAAAAGATTGTGTGCTGTGGTGTCAGATAAACACTTTCTTACAACCTGCCAGGAGGTGTAATTGTATTCTGAGCTCACGTTTACTGAGGTTCCAGGAATGAGCGGTGGTGTCTCTGTCATCCCCGCCCGGGAGTGGCTGTTGTGGTCCTGGGCGCTTTACTCTGGCCTGCCAGCAAGCAGCTGACTGCCTTCTGGGTTCTACCTTTGCTGCCGCCCTTATGTGGAGCATTTAAGCAGACAGCAGTGGCGTGGCATGGCCTCCATGTTGAAGTCACGGGGAGAGGTTGTCTTGGAGGAACTCATTTGCAGTTTGCCCTAGTGTCTGTTAGGATCTTGACCCACAGGGCCTTTCAGTGGTGCTGAGAGTATTGTTTGTGAGCCCAGCATGGCGTTCCACAGCAGGATTGTGGTGCTGCCACCTGGCATTAGAGCCAGACTCCCCAAGTCATGGGTCAGGCCTCTGCAACCTGGCCTCACCTCAGACACCAGCCATGTTTGGGGTGTCCGGGCCCCCTGCACTTCTGATGGACCTGTGGATTGGCTGGAGGCACAGTGGTATCCATGATTCCTGGACTTGGATAATTCCTTGAAATGGCTCACAGTACTCTACTCACGGTTACGGTTTTATCATAAAAGGCACAGGTGTGTCCTAAGAGCGCCATGGAGCTCCCTCAGCTCCAGGGTTCCAGCCATGCTTGGCTTTTCAGGGGCCTTGGAGTTTCTGGGGACCACCCAGAGTTGACTCATGAACAGGATGAAGACATAGCAAGAACTTAGTCTCCCTGCCCAGAATGGGAACAAACGCCTTCGAATTGTGAGTTATGCCTGAGCTGCTTTGGATGAGTAGCAGTGGCCTCTGACCACTGTCCTGTCCTTGGTGTGTGAGGTCACAAAGCCTCCTCTCAGAAGTAGCTTTTCTGGGTCTCAGTTTCTCTCCTGGGCTGGGGACTGGGTGAGGGGCCTGGGTGGGGGCTTGGGTCACCTCTCTGGCCCCTCAGGCCTGTGGTTTAGCTAGGATTCTGGGATCTTAGCCCAAGTGTAGTGGCTGGGGCCCGAGATTTTCTCCCTGCACGGTCAGCACATTCCTGAAATGCTGTTAAATTTTTCTAAATAAATCTCACTTTCTATTGATTTCCATTACATTTTCCAAGGGAAAATAGTTTTTTCTGAGGGGGTGGGGTGATAGTTACTGACCTGTCTGAGGAGAGGCTTCCTGTTGGAGCAGAGGACTCATGGTAATGCAGTCCAGCTGCTTCAGGGAGGCTGCTCTGGGTGTGTCACCGCAGCGTTCTGGTCTCCTGGGACCTTGCTGGATTTGACCCACAGCCCCTGGGCGTTCCTTTGCTTAGCTGTGTGGCCTAGGTATGTAGGTGCCCTGGCCCAGCTCGGCCAGAGGTTCTGCCATCCCTGTGGAGTCCTCTGTGGGCACTTCGGTGGCTCCCAGGTCCCCAGGCCTGCTCAGTTGGCAGAGAAGAGGCTCGCCTGGCAGGTTGGCAGGATGTGTATTTTCAAAGTGGGCTCCAGCGCCCTCCTTGGTTCTTGGACCAGCTTCAAGCCAGGGCGGTGAAGGGGATCCCCTGTAGGTGTGCTCAGTCCTGGTCCTCACCATGCCTACCTTTGGCCTTCAGGGCCCTACTCAAATAGCCAACTTTGTACAAACTGACCCTTGTCTCATGAAGGCAAAGATGAAAACATGCACACAAAGGAGGTAGTTAGGGGAAATGTCATGGGAAGTGTGAGGAAAAAACTCGCAGTGGGTAGTAGGTGGTGACTGGGAGGGGTCCTAGAAAGTGAGTGTGCCGCGTGGGCTCTGTCCAGGATCTTTAGTGGATAAGCAGAGTGTTGGAATTTGCTCAGTTGTGCAGTGGTTACCTGTCCCAGGTGGCTTTGTGGTTTAAAAATGACCAATTCAAACCCAGACTCTAAACCAGTTACTTAGCATGCAGGATTTAAAGGAAAACCGGCTGCTCTGCATTTTTAAGTTCCTTGGAGGAAACAGCCCTGGGCGTAGGGAGGGATTGAATTCCATTCTGCTGGAACCTCTGTCTGGGACCACCCTCTCCCCAGCTGTTTACAGCCCGCACACATCAAATCCCACAGTGATGGGCTGAGGCTACCGAGACACCCTGTGTTCATGTCCGTTGGCTCTTACTGTGCTCTTCATCCTCCTAACTGATGAGAGGACTGCAGTCTGGCTCCAGTTGAAGGTGTGATGCATTCACGTTTGCCTTGGCTCAGTGCCAGGCTCTGCAAGGGTCTTTGCCAGGTGTTCAGGTGTGAATGCTTGCACCTACTTTTTGGGCATATAAGTCTGAGTAGGGTCTAGGCGGCTCAGCAGGCTTTGCACCATGTGAATGAATACATGGCTTTCCTTTTAGTGTAAATCCTGGGCAGCGTTTGCGTACATTGTCTTCGCTTTTAATCCCGGAGAGGAGAAGTTTCTGTGGGTCCATTTTGCTAAGGAAAGTGCTCAGCCGGTACCGAGGTTGCCTTTCCTGCTTCTGCGCAGGACCTACCCTTCCCGGTGACCTGTCACACAGGGCGCCGGAGAGAAGTCTTTTCAGCCTGAAAGCTGACAATAATTACATCTGCCTGCTCATTCATTACGTGAGCACCCTTATTTCTAGTGAAATGGAAATTTCAGTTTCAGAATTATTGCTAACCAAATTACCTTTATCAGTGAAAGAGCATCTGCTCACAATTACTTATAAAATAGGAAAAATGAATCTTTTCAGCATATACGTTTGTGGCTCTGATGTGTATAAATTGAAAGTCATGCCTGGAGTTTAGCAGTCCATTTTTCACCATGTTCAAAACAGGAGACAGCCCTGCCAGAAGTTTGTTATGCACATTAGAGGGTGGCTGGAGAGCTGGTGGCGGGTTCACTTTATCACTCTTCATTACCTACTTGCAGAGAGGTCTGCGACCGGTGAAAAATGGGCCACTTCCCGGAAGCAAGGGCGAGTTCCGGTTTGCTGCAGGGCAGACGTCCCATGGGCCTGTGTTCAGCCCGCCTAGCCTGGCTGGAAGTTGGGCTGCCAGCAGAGTGCCCAATACAAGTGCTGAGGCCAAGGAAGTCTCAGGCCTGTGGCTGATGTCACTATCTGGCGGGCAGAACTTGGCCCGTTAGCTCGTTTTAGTTCAAGGCCCCAGGTCGGGCAGAAGAGAAGGCCGTGTGCTCAGGATGCTCGTATCCAGCAGTTCCCATGACATAGACAGCTTGTACCTTGAGGCTGGTTTGTCCTTTCTGCCTGCCCTCAAGAGTTCCAGGAGGGCAGGGAGCAGGCCTGTCTTTCCTGGGGCGGCCTGGCCTATGGAGGGTGCTGGCTAATCCCTGCTGTTAGGCCAGATGAATGAGCAGCCTTTGTTCCGGAAGGAATCGGCCTGTGCCATGTGGGCTTATGCTGTGTCAGGTTCAGTGGGTACTCCTGGAAGTGTTCTGAGCTTTGCTGTACAGAGGGGCGTGGCCATGTCCACGTAGTGGTTCTAAGAGACAAAGGTTGTGGCTGTTTTGAGGTAACAGTGGGGAAGCCTTGGCCTGTTTTAGCTCAGCTGCCACTTTGCATGTACCTTTGGACAGGTTGCCTCACAGGTGAGAGATGAGGGCCCCCAGGATCAGGGCAAGAGATGCATGGCCCCCACTCAGGAGCTGGGCACAGGGTGGCTGGTCACTGAACTCTGGAGTGTGCTTCTCCTGAAGTTGGGCTGAGGAGGGCCAAGGGCTTGTTTTTGCACCTGCTACTTTTGGATCTGAAAGCAGGGCAAAAAATGTTACGTTTTATTTTGTTTCATTGGGTTGCTTCAGTGGCAGATGTTCCAGAAATATGTGTTTAATTTTTCAGAGTTGTTTCTGGCCTGTTTGCCATCGGAAGGCACTGCCTCCTGGGCACCCATTAGAGCTGTTTGTTTTCCGGTTCCCTGGGTGCTGACTTGCTCTGTGGGTGGGCTGTTGGCACTGTAGGCAGGGCTGGGGACCTCGGCTCTCCAGCTTGTACGTCCCAATAGCATCTTGCTCTCCTCTGTCACCCTGTCTGCAATCTCATGAGAGAGGCTGGTCCTGGCATCAGGCTGCTCATTTAGCACTTGGGAGGCTGAGGCAGGAGGATCACTGCGAGTTCAAGGCCAGCCTGAACTACATAGCAAGACCACATATCAAAAGAAAGAAAATACAAAAGAGACAGAGCTGGGGATTTAGCTCAGTGGCACCTTGCCTGCCTTGCAAGCACAAAGCCATGAGTTGGATCCCCAGTCCTGGGACACGCACAATCACAGGACTGCTCATTTAACAAATGTGTCTGTGCTCCCTGCAGACCCGGCCCTGTTCATTTCCGTTTTGCAAGGGGACACAGTCCTGCCCTTGGGGTAGTCTCAGTCTTTTGGGGAAGACCTAGCAGGGTCACACAGCCTGTGCCCTGTGTAGAGCCCAGGGAAGGGCTGATTTCTCAGTGGCAGACCATGGGATTGGTGTTTAGCTGGAGGGAAGGAGTGGACATGCCTGTGTCTCCTGAAAGTGGCAGGAAGGGGTCTGTACCCTGGTGCAAACCCAACGGAACCCGCACTGGTAAAGTGAGAGTCTTCGCTGCATCTGGGTCCTTAAATGCTCCTGTCCTGCCTGTCAGGGTGAGGTCCTACTGTGGCATTGTGGTTAGAAGTTGGAGGAGTGGCTGCCCAGGGATGCTGGGGTGGCGCTGTGACAGGAAAGGACCTGGGCTGCTGGTACCACACTGCTCATGCCCACGGGGGAGCTGAGGAGCTGCACAACCAGGATGGGTATGGGGCTCGTGGTCGTCAGGTGTTCGCACAGCACAGACTGGGCCACCTGCTGGGCTGTACCTGCCCATCCCCTTGCGCTCCAGTACCCGCTTCCTCTCCAGAGTTGTCCCAGTCATTCTGGCCTGCCCTTCCCGGGCAAGAGCAGCCAACTGCATATTCATGAAAACTCAGCCCTCTTTTTTCTGTGTTAAGCAACCTTTTTCAGTAAATTTAGTCATTTTCTAAACTGCTGGTTCTCCAGTGTTCCTCAGATTTGAATTTCAAATACGCTGGAGGGCCCCGCCCGAGTATCTGCTATTTTGCCCTTGGAAACTGGGTAAGATCAGGCCTGGTCTTGACGGTCTGCATCAACTAACCTCTGCTGGCTTGTTTTTATGACGCGGCAGCCATCTTTCCTGGGCCTGCATGGGCAGAATGCTGGGAGTGGGAGTGGTCACCTGGCCAGCAGAACCTGTGCCCCTGGAAGGCACTTGTCGGAGTGTGTGTACCTGGGCCTGTCGGGCTCTAAGTGTCCGTGGCTCCTCAGAGGAGGCTGAGGCAGAGGTGGGGATCTTAGGTGTGGACTGTTGAGTTACTGCCCACCGTACTCTGATGCGAAGAGAGACCATGTAGCTGATGTGGGCCCGTGCTTCTGTTAGTGCTGTCATTGGCACTTGGCTCTTCCAGTGCCAGCTGTCCTCAAGGTGCCCAGAGCCCTAACTCAGAGCCCGCCTGTCACCGTCGCCATCTCCCCTCGTTGCTCATTCTTTTAAACAGGAGAGAGCCTTCATTTGGGGAATTCATCCTCTGCTTCCTAGGGTTGTGCTTGGGCCATGCTGATGATGGGGTGAGGTTCTGAGGGTGCACCGGGCGCCAGGGACTAGCGGCTTGGCGTCCTGACACCTGCGGCTGTGTTTGCTCTGTGCAGAACCTGTGCACCAGCACCTGGACCAGCACGAGGTGCGCTACCTGCAGTTTGCCTTTCGCTGGATGAACAACCTGCTGATGCGAGAGCTGCCGCTGCACTGCACTGTCCGCCTGTGGGACACCTACCAGGTGAGTGCCTCCCCGCCTGGGAGTCCCCTCCCAGCCAAAGCCCTCATGGTCCTTGGCAAGCCTGTTTCTGGTCGCCTTACGGTCTGAGCAGACGTGGAACATGGAGAAGGACTTCATGTTGTTCCCTTTGCCTCTGGATCTCATCCCATCCGTGTGGCGACCGAGTCCCCATTGCTTGCCAGCAGTTTACATTCTGAGCCCAAGCCTAGGAGTGCGGTAATGCTGGTAGCTCCGCCGCAAGTTTGAGCTACTTCTGCCCCAGACTTCACACACAGGACTCACACGTTGCCCATGTTTTCAGTTACTTATAGTGAAGATTTAAGAACGCACAGATGGATCCATTGCAGTATGAAATTTTCTGCTCTCCACTAGGTTTGATGACATTCATTCTTTGAGGAGGTTGAGTTTTCTGGAACAAACTGCCTTTGTTCCCTCGAGTGTCTGTTGCTCGTTCTCGCATCTTGGCACTTTTTTCACGATTTCCACAGGAGATGTGCCCGTGCTGTTTGGTTTAGGTGTGAGCCTTCAACCTCACTTACAAACAGGAGCACCATTATGTGGGGTAGGAGTCTTGACCTGTGTTCGAGAGAGAGGCTCTTAACACCTTGCTCAGGCGGGCACAGTCCTTTGTGGGCTTTGGAAAGGGCGCTGTCTGGGGAGACTGGTGCCAGGCGTGGGGTGGCGGTGTAAATCCCAGGTACTGGGCCTCACTCCAGCATTGGGGTCTTACACATGGACGTCTATGAAGGTGGTGGTGGGAGGCAGGAGATGCTAGAGCAGCCAGAGCCTCAGCGGTCCTCCCAACTTTCCCCTCTCTGAGGGACAGCGGTCTGGATGCCGCGTTCCTCCCACAGCACAGGGTGCTGTAAGCCTGCCATGCTGCAGTCTCTTGTGCTGTGCTTGTTTCCATGGGGATCATCTCAAACAACAGCCTAGAGCTTTGCTCCTGACCCTGCTTTTGGGCCCTGTGCCCCACAGTGGGTGTTTTGTGGCTCTGAGTTGTGTGTTCAGACTCTTTGCAACTTGTGCAGTCTAATGCTGCCCACAGGAATGATAACTGGTCAGTGGTTCTGCCTTCCTACCTGCTTGGCAGCTGCTGAATTTCTGCCTAGTAGCATTAGCTAGGACGCGAAGCCTTACCTGGGGCTATTTGGTTAAAGTGGCCATCGGTCTAGCGATTGATCGGCTGGCTGTAGGATTACAGGAAACAAAACTTAATATCCTGTAAATTGCAAACACTCTTCGTATCTGTGATTGGTTAGGTCGTTCAGTACCCAGGCCCCCCTCGTTAAACACAGAGTTCCTTGTAACACTGTCCCCATTATGAATAAATTAGTTATTAAGCCAGTCGCTCTGTGAGGAGCTAGAAGACCAATTGGCTCATCCATGGGCTGTGCCACTTCCTAAAACTCCTAATAGTTATTAAAACTTTAGGTACGATTATTGTCTCTTTATTGAGTTAATTTCCCTGAAATTAAATTTTGTCATGAATTGACTCATTTGTCCCATGGCCCCATTCTTGAACTGACAGTACCCTGGTCATAAACCTTTTCATATCTTAAAAATTGGGGGTATTTCCATTTTGCAGGGCCAAGTAACCATGAAATTGTATTGCATCTTTTGGCAATGAAAATACATAGTAATCATAGGATAGCAATCGGGTGATTACTCTCCCCTAAACTGGGGTGTTTAGTAGCTGGGCCATTACAGGTTTCAGTAACTCTTTAACCCCTCATGGGACAGCTTAAAATCCATTTGGACATGTGTCTGTGAAAGGATATTAGGAAGCCCCTACCCTGCCCTGTTCCATTCCTGGACTAGACGGATGAATGAGGTACAATACCACAGTGTCAAGGGAGCACCAAGAGACAGCCCCACTGGCTTGGCAGGTCCGTCACAGGACCTGGTGCTGTCACAGTGACCCTGGCTCCCAGGAGAGCCTCGGCAACGAGGCCACCATCAGGGGCCTCTGTGGAACATGACTGCCAGCTTTGCCCGGCAGACCCACCCTGCACATGGAGGAATCTTGGACCTGTTCCTTTTGCAGTTGGGCTCAGCTACAGCATTGGGTCACGCCTTTCTTACATGCCTTGCCAGTTTTGCCAGGCCCTCCATTGTGTTTATTTTGCCACCATCCACACCCTACTGCCTCGGGCCAATTCTCTAAGTCTCTTGGCCTTAAGCAGCCACTGAAGGAATGGTAAGGGCACATGTGGGACGGGCAGGAGCCCGATGCAGCAGTGCTTGGAATCTAAAGGCATGCACATGCTGTACCTGTGTAGTTGTAACCAGAGCTGCACTTGCTCCTTGGGGTCTGAGGACAGAGAGTCTGGCGCTGGCAGTGTCTCAGTCCAGGCAGGACATTGCTGTCCTGTGCTGGAAGTGAGCTTGGGCAGCTCAGGCAGCCTGGTCAGAGCTCTCCCTGGCACACTCGGCTCAGACTCCTGTATCCTCACTGCAACCCCAGCTCCCGGGTACTGGCTTTGAGCTTTGTCTCCTCCCCATTGGAGGGGGGACAGCCTTGGTCTGGGCTGTCATGGTGGCCACCTGGACTGCAGCTGGGCGGCTCCGCTGGAGAGCTGCTGATTCCTAAGGTCCAGATGCAGCCCCCAATCCTAGGACAGCAGCGTTCAGTGAGGCCGCAGCCTGAGAGCCAGGACCCTTCCTGGGTGCACCCCCAACGTAGCTCCTTCACTGTTTTCCAGAGTCACATGCAGGGCCTTTGTTGTTTTATGTCAGGCCAGGTGACGTTTATGAGGGATAAGAGAAAGTGTCCTTGTGAGCAGTGGGTGAGAGCCCCATTGCCTTGTAAGGAAGAAGGTGTGCAAAAGACTGTCTTTGTGAGTGTTTCCCTGATGGGGTAACTTTCATACCCTCACCACAGCAGGGCCAGCACCTTGGACAGAAGAGCTGAGGATGGATTGATTGGCATGTGTTCTCTTGTTCTTTATTTAATCCAGAAATTAGCTGTCATTTTTCAGGTCAGAAGTAGGGGAGCAAAGCAAGAAGAACCCCTTTAGCTGGCATCTGAGAGGTGGAATAGGAGGGCCAGGCCAGGAATGCAGGCCCTGGGGATAGCTGGTGGAAACCCGCTTAGGAGATGTGTCTGTGCCTCTGCCCCGCAGCCCTGTTTCTGCATCACTGCAAATGTGCACTTCAAAGGGATATGTGCAGAGTGCCTGCTGTGTGCCAGTGACCTGGGGCCGGGGACCCAGGACATGGGACAGAGAAGGGCTGTCCTCGTGGCGCTCGCCAGCTTGAGGCTGGGACAGGACTGTAGCAGCATGGATGTTTGGCTTGGTGTTAGGTAGTGGTAGATGCTGCCTGAAGCCTGAGCTGGGAGGGAGGCAGTGCCCTGAGTGGAGGAAAGGAGAAGAGGGGACCCTACGTTTGGGCTGTGGACAGCGGGTGAGGCCGAGTCTGGGAGCAGGAAAGCCCTGCTCAGGCTGCCTTCCAGGGTAGGGGCGGGCTGGAGGGGTGAGCACAGCTGCAGCAAGGGCCAGCGTGTGGGGCTGCCACTGCCGTAGAGAGCTGGGGCACCCTCCTCTGGGGTTGGGCTGGTGCCTGAGTGAGAGGAGGGAGGGAGGCAGCCGGGTGAACCCCTGCTGGTGTCAAGCATGCCTTGGGACTGGGATTTCTTCAAGTCAGAACAGTCCCTGGGGTGATGGGATGGGTTGAAGTTCATCTTCACGTGAACCCACATCGCCCCACTTTGGACAGAGGGCCACACGTGGCGGCAGCTGCAGACGTGTGCAGGTGCGCATGGGTCAGTGTGCACATGTGTGTGTCTTTGCTGTAACAATGGAAGGGCCCAGAAGCAACCAAGTCCTGCAGCCCAGCTGCTCCTCACTGAGCTGGTGTCTGCGGATTCTGACAGCGCTGTGCGGGCAGAGGAACCAGGGCTCCCTGAGCAGTGGCTGATGCTAGGGCTAAGCCCGGAGCAGGTAGGGGAGAGCTCAGGCACGCACAGTGACTCAGTGGCCAGGGCAGAACAGTCAGGCACTGAGTAGTCTGGAAGTGCACTGTAGCTGAGCGGGTAAAACACGGATCTCGAGTCCATATGGATAGAAACCAGAGGTTGAATCAGTAGATAAAGGGGGAGAAGAGAGACATTGGCTGTGCAGAAGAATTATTTATATAGGCCCCCCTTTAAATTGGGCAGTGCAAGGAGACTTTCCCAAAGTGCTCAGTGTGTGTGTGTCTGTGTGTGCGCGCGTACATGGGGTAATGTAGTGGAGATGCTGACAGATATTCCTCAGCTGGCACATCAAGGTCACTACAAGGCTGCCTTGATGAGAAGAATGCTGTCCTCTGTGGTCTTCCCCAAACCCATCACTGTGGACCAGTGATCAGACACCCGGCAGATCCCTGTGGATTACTCTCTAGAACACAGTCACTGGCAGGCCTCAGAAGTGCTGGCTTACCTGGTACAAAGACAGCATGAGAGACTGTCCCTGCCTGGAGGAGCTTGAAGAGATGTGACTGGGAGTCACACGGGACTCAGATGGAGTCCTGGGACATCAAAAGGACATTCGGGGAAAACTTACCAGCCCGTCATTCTTGGCTTATCAGCTGGGTCGTTTAGGAGTGACCATTGGGGAGATTGGCTGCAGAGTCTTTGGCTCTGGGGCCGCCTTCAGGGGCCTGGCATAATCTCTGCACCCTGCCCTGCCCCCTCTCCTTGCTGCCTTGCTCTTTCCTATGTCCTTGGCTCCTGCTGTCCTGGAAGCCCTGAACTGGCAGCTGCACTGTGTCGAATGGGAGATTCCCTGGCCCACACCTTTCCCTAGGGTGAGTTGGGTGCTGTTAGCTTGGGCTGTGGTGCCAGAGTTCTGGAGGCCAGAAGTCTGAGATCCAGGTGTCGGCAGCTCTGCCGCCTCACTGTGTCGTCAGGTGGCCTTTCCTGTGTCTGTGTGAGCCCTTTTCATATGAGTGCAGTAGTCCTTTTGCCCCAGGGCCCCAGGTACCTGACCTCACTTAATGTCACTTACTTCTTAAAC